TCTCAATCTTTGGAAACTTAAATCCAAAATATATTTATGCTCATATTGCCAATCTATTAAGTAATTGTCTCTATGCTCATTTTTTATAAATGCTGATCTTTCTTTTAGTGGAGAACAATTGCATTGGTACTGTATCTGTTTTTGGCGCATTCCATTGTGTCACGAGTAACAAATTCACTCTTAACAGAAAGATAATACAAACTTCTTTATCTGGGCTCATGCACAAGTGTTCTGCACAAACAAGTTCAGAAAGATTATGCTAAACTTTCTTTGCACATTAGGTATATGCTGTGGCATCTGAGGACATGGATTCCCTAACGTTTGGAGCTCCAAGGTTTCTTCGCCATTTAATGGATCCTAGTTCGAAAAAGATCCCAGTGATGGAATTTGAAGTCTCAAAAGTACTAAGAAGTTCAAATGCAACTTTTTAATTGATAGATTCTAAGTGCAGTCTTTCTAATGTTGTATTCTATTCCAGGTTTTGGAGGAGTTGAACCTGACCATGGACCAATTTATAGACCTTTGCATTCTATCTGGTTGTGATTACTGTGACAGCATTCGAGGTACAACGGTTTTACTTGCAGAATATGTTGCAAGGAATGTGGTGACTATTTTATGTAGTTAATTAGTAATTGATATAAAAAATGCATCTTGAGATGTGCATTTCTTTTACTGTTTGAAATGCGAACGTATCCATGAAAATAGGTAATAATTATTAAAGTTTACATAATAATGGAACATCTTTTGGATTGATAATTAAGTTCTATGCCTTTTATTTGTTAGTCCTTTTGACCGCAAAAGGCTTGTTAGTGTGGTTTGATTCTAGGATGATTGGGCATTAGACTGGAAATCGAGGGTTAATGGTTAATTTTACATATAAGATTCAGATATGAGGTAACAATACTGTTTGCCCTTGTTTTCCTTTTCCTGTGTCTCTAATTATTTTAACAGTGTTGGTGATATTACATTTGCTTTGTAGTGAAGAGTATAACAACAGAATGTCAATGTTAATTTTTGCTGACCAGAGCTTAAATCGGGCATATTAGTCTATTCTCTTTCTTTCTTTCTTTAAGGGTCCATTTAGATAATATTGATGGCAGAGAATAATTAAGAATTAAGAGCAGTATATAGACTAATGGCAGTGATGAATTTCCTTCGTTTATGTGAAATTTATGAATAATTTACGCATTCTTTCCATCTTATAATAGAGGCGATTTCTCTGTAGTGAGGTTCTCTCCACAAAACATTTCTCTGTTATAATTTTTGAGTAATGGACCAAAATCAAACATGACTCTACTGTTTGGTGTATGACAGGTACTCTAGGACAGACTGGTTTATGTTATGTGATAATTGGACGTAACTTACAAGAAGCACTATTTTTCAGGTATTGGGGGACAGACTGCTCTGAAGTTGATTCGGCAACACGGCTCAATCGAGCACATTCTGGAAAATATAAACAAAGAAAGGTGCTTTTATGTTTGATTCCAGGCCAAAGTTTCTTAATTCAAGTGGAGGGTGTGAGTTAGTTTCAGTTGGACCACAAACCCCAAAATTCTTGCTAAATTTTGAGAAACAACCTCCTATGAGACATGGACGGTAGCCTTGCTTTTTCATCCAATTGCTACTATCTTAAACTCAAGTTCCAAACTTTGGTAAAGTATTGAGTCCTCGCATTTCAATTTGTCTCTCCGTGTTGGTGGATTGGGGAAGTAAGATAAAGAGTAATGCAGAACACTTAACCCTTGTTTGAGCCACATTATTTTCATAAGAATGCATTTTTGAATAGTTTATTGGTGGGAAAAGTGGTTAAAAAATAACAATTTTTTTTATATTTGTGTGTAATATTATTTTATTGAAAAATGTGTGGTTGAAATGATATCAAATCACTGTTTAAGAATGTGACTCAAACAGGCCTCAATATTTTTTAGATGCCTTCCTTTCTTTTGATAACTCAGTATAGTTGTGAAATCTTCAAGACCGGCATTCACCCCCTTAAAAGAGTCTAGTTAACTTGGTAGGTAGGGTAATTATTCTAATATTTTGGCTGCTAGATTCTTAGTTTTGTCATTTGATGAAATTACTTAAGCATAATCCATTTACATGTACCAAATATAAACTTTAGATTTACTGCAAGCAGGGACTACTGTCTAGTTTACCATTATCTATCAATTAAGTTGCTCGTAAGAATAAGATATTCCATTCATGGTTCAGTATGCTCCAAATTTTAAATCCTTAAAACAAATGTTATAAAACGATCAGGTCTCTGTGTCGAAGCTGTTATATCATACTTATTGGGAGAGCAAATTCTCTCTTCCTCCGTAATTCAAAATCAGTTCATATTAAGATTCAACTTAAGTATGTCGTAAGATATAGGTATTGGGTTTGAATCCTGAGATACGCAAAAGAAAGCTGTGAGGGGTACGAGGATAGATTCTCTTCCAAAGTGGACGTAAGATATAATTTTTTTTTGCAATGATCTAACCTTTGGGCACAAGTTGTTAAAGTACGTACTGCCCATTTTGGGAAGCATTTTGCTTGCTTATCTCTTACTACTTTATGTTGCATTTTCGTTGCTCAATTGGTATCGGGATTCAATTTAAGTATTTTGTTAGGCAGATGTTTTGGGTTTGAATTCTGAAAGATGCGATAAAATGCCTTGAGGGGTAAAGAGGGATGCTCTCTTAAAGTTGATAGTATGTAAATGACTTGAGAACATAGACTAGATAATTATATATGTGGTCCCGTGATTGTCAAAGTGCGCTTAGTTTTAGACAATTATTGAGGATTGCTGTGCTGTTGTATATTGAAATAAACAAAGCAAAAGATGGAAACAAAAGGGGTTAGATGATTGGAGTATCATCTTGTGCAAATAATTATTTTCACAAGTACTTGCTTCCATATACATTATCTTAGAGGACACTACTAGTTTATCGAATCCATTCTTAATACGGTTAGTGTTTGAATCCAGATATCAAATACCAGAAGATTGGCCATATCAAGAGGCTCGAAGGCTCTTTAAAGAACCATCGGTTCACTCCACTGATGAACAACTTGAGCTTAAGTGGACTGCCCCTGATGAAGAAGTGATTTGCTTTGCTTAAAATTTTCAGATTAATTTGCATTTTCCTTTAATCATTTTTATGTTTTTTATTATTTTTTTCACCTTCAGGGGTTGATAAGCTTTCTGGTAAATGAGAATGGCTTCAACAGCGACAGAATAACTAAGGCATGTTTCCATTGTCACTGTGATTGTGAGTTCATTGATTGATTTTCCCTGAAATTGTGCTGAATTACGGGATTTATCAATAACCTGTTTGATTTATTTAGGCAATAGAAAAGATCAAGGCTGCTAAGAACAAGTCTTCCCAGGGACGGTATGCATTGCATGACTGACTGGAAATCAAGTGAATACCTTATCTATCCAAATAGTGCCACTTTCTCACTCTTCTCTCTCTCAGATTGGAATCATTCTTCAAACCAGTTGTTGGCACATCAGTACCTGTTAAGCGGAAGGTGTGTTATTAATTGCAGCATTAAAACTCTCTGCTGTTTCTAAATCTCTGGGTGTGCAAGTTAGACATTTGAAGGGTAGACATTTGAAGTGTAACACTGCAGCAAAGCTAAGCATGTGCTTTTGGCAAATACCACTACAAACTGAATTTGTGGCACCCCGAAATCATGTTAGATTATGGGCTGATTGTAGAAATTTTGTTATGTTTTCTACTCAAAAGTTTTGGTAAAAATCAGGTTCAATTTCAGTTTCTTGCTTTAGGTGAATCAAGGGAAAAAAAAAAAAGGGAAAAAAAAAAAGCAGCAATGGCGGCATGACTTCCCGAGCGGCCATTAGACATGAATCCATGCCCATCTTCCATTAAATTTCAAATCAAACGTCAAGCATGTTACGAGTTCCACCAAAGTAATGTGGTATAGCAACTTTTCCTTTGCGACAAAGTGTCCAAGTCTTCAACAATCCTGGCTGTTGACTGAGAGAAAGATCACAACAATGAAAGAGAGATTGAGAGCAAATTAGTTCAAGACTTGGTGGGGTGAGATGGTAATTTAATGGTGAATGGATAAGGGGATGGGAGTCTCTATGATGCCAATGATCATGGTGGCTGGTGTTAGAATATGTGAGTTGGAAATTGGATTATATCATTCAATACATGATTACTTTGTGTGAATGGATATGCTATCTTTTATTTAAATTCATTGAATCCTAACAGTGGGATTATTCTAAAATGAAAAGCAAATACTGAACCTACGTTACAAGTTTGGCAATTAGGTATGAATTGTAAATTTTGTTTGGGCCAGTTTTACCATTCAACACACCTCTAAGCAAATACTGCAAATGAAGTTTTGAAATGCATGTTTGTGTCTTTATTGATAAGAGTTCTTCACTAATTATACGTCCGATTCAAATTTATTAGTATTTGCTAGCTAAATTTACTACATTGATATTAATTGTTCCATTAGGCTGCCATTTCCCTGTACCCAAAATTTCGTAAAAGGAGCCGACGTAGTGTTTTTGTTGGTTTATTCCATTATCCTTTTGACTCATTCTTCATCTATGCTCTATATGCTTGCTTTGTTAACTTGTATTAAAATATTGCTGGAGTTTTTGTTGTTTATTCTTGTACTCAGCACACATTGTTAATTTAACGTGCTCAACGTTTACCGTTTGGTGATAATTCTAGGACGTCAATTTGATATTAATTTTACCTTGAAACCTTGTTGCCTTATTCCTGTTAACTCCTCTTACTCTGTTGGAGTACTTTTCCCTTCAAAGACATGAAGTTATTGGGCAAGCGACGCGTAACAATTCTTTTAGGACTTGTACAGAACACCACTCTGATTGGTTATGACTTTTGGTACTGGCCAACAGGAAACTAAATGCATTCTTGGATCTGCAAAGCCAGTAATCAAGCTTAAGGCATACTCTATGGAATCATCCTTTCAATTCAGGCCTAAGGTCATTGCCAGCATAGGCCTGCCGACCCTAGATTTGGGCTCGAGGCAGTCCATGCTGTTTTCTGGAAGTTTTTGCTTCGGCACGTGAAGCTGACAATCCACGGTGAACTTAGATCTGTGACTATTCCGTTGTTCAATTTAAGTCATTTAATAACATGTAAACTGTTACAAGCAGTACTGTATCTGTAGGAGGGAGAATAAAGTTCACACAAATGGTGTGTAGATATAGTAGCAACCTGTACTGCACTATAATTGATAATGATAATAATAATAATGATCAACCTCAAGTAGTCATTGAAAACTTAATCCTGTTATCTACCAGAGGTCTATGCAGTCCAATGCCTCGGTAAATGTTACGTAGAGCAGGTGATACTTTTTAACGGGCAACTCATAACATCCGGAGGGGATAAATTCAGTCTTCTAGCTATGTTCGTAATGCATCATGCTCATGAACCTATACATAACCTGTTTGGAGTATTGGTGATTAATTCTTCATAAAATTTGTAGGAGATTGATGGCCTGATTACCACCAACTTTCAGCTGTTGTTTGAGTTGCTTCAAATTGCGTGCACGCTGTTGAGGGATATTAAAAGTTTCTCTAATGAATTAACTAGATTTATATTGATCTGTATTCATTTCCAGAAATTATACTTAATTTCTTTTGTTGCACTCCTATGTTTTTAATATTTCAATTGTCTTTGCAACTCTCTGACAGGAAACAACTGAGAAAGCGGAAAAAGGAACTGCCAACAAAAAGGCAAAGGCTGGGGGTGGTAAGAAGAAGAAATAGTTTGGAAATCTGAACATTGGCAAGTTAGCACGCTTACATTAGAGGCCGTTGAATGAAGTCCTAAATTGGCTGTTGGACTTCCTACATTAGAGTTTCAAGTTCATAATCTGTTTAACCTGTAGCTTTCCTTCTTGTATAAACGCATTTGGGACTTCCAACTTCTCTTATAGTTGGCTGGTTTTAGTTGTACTGCGTACACATCTATCTATGTCAATTCAGTTGCCCTTGTGGGTTTATTTTAACTTGTTTCAGAATTTTTTTTTTATTATGTTTTTCCATTCAAATTTCTGGGTGCAGCAGCATTCATCCCACCAGGGCAGCGTTACAATTAGTTAAGCCAATTAGCTTAGATGTCTGGCTTCATTGATTATGTGGTATGTGTGAAGGGGACAGCACCACATTCTCTTTCTTACTCAAAGAATGTGAGACCGAAGGCTCGAGGTAAAAGTAAGGAAGTTCATGAATCAAATATGTGATCTGGGTTTGAATCAATTTGATAAGATCTTTGCTGCTATTGTGGTATTTCACAGCATGAAAATGATTTGAATGAGGTTTAGTTGTCTGCACCAATTTGACGAGATCTTATGCTGCTATTGAGGAATCTCACAGCATGAACAGACTGATTGTTGAAATATCGGGAAAAGATTTTAAGGCTCGTTTGGAACGTCTTTTTTAAAAAGTCAAAAGTTGCCTCTGAATTTAAGCAGTTGTTTTTTAATTTGTTTTGGATAATTTTTTGGAAGTTGATTTGTTTGACTAGAAGAGCTTTTAAAAGAAGCTTACTTGGAAGTTCTTCTACAAGCAGAACTAAAAGTAGAAGTTAGCGAAACGTGCCCTTGGTATCTATAATTTCAAGTTATTCCCAAGTGGGTTTACGCCATGAGGCTTTGAAATTGTATGATGAAATATTATGGATGTGAGTTTTGATGGGTTAAGTGAACTAGCTGTCGACTTGCATTCATGACATGGTGCTTCAAATATTGGTCTGAAGTTACACGTTTTCATTGATACGTATGTCAAATGTGGTAGCTTGAATAAAGCCATTTGTATTGAGTGGGAATATTGGTCTCAAGTTACAAGAAATGGCCTGTTGTTTAATGTTTTTGTAGGGCATGAATTGGCTACTGAACCTGGTTCTGGAGGTATTTCTCTTTTCGTTAACATGATGAGTGGAGTAAAACCTCTGTTACATTTCTTGGTTCGTTGCAACTTGCACGGGTGTAGTCACCAAGGTTTGGTTGAGAAGTGTTTCATTTGATTGGCTTGGAGAGGTTGAGCATTATGGGGTGCATTGTCGAATTATTTGGCCATTCAGGGAAGCTAGGAAATTCAATTAAGGACATCGACAATTCTCCAATGTGACAACCCAGTCCTGAGGAGGACCTCACTAGGTTCGTGTTGAATTTATGAAGATGCTGATAAAGGTTAGACAGCAACGTAAAAGTTGATTAGTTGAACAAGGAATCAATCGAATTCATAGACCTGTCTCCGATGACAATGAACAGCAAAAATAAGACAAGGCAAAGATCGAATGAGCAACTGTTGTGGCTCTTGAATCAAGTTAAATTCAAAGAGACGTTTGTTCTTTAGGAATGGTGTAGTTTTTATTTCCCTTCCAACATACAAAAAAATGAAAGCCCTTGACATGGAAGCTTCAAGCTTCACCTCCATGTAAGGGTGTTAGCTTATTACAGGTATATATATTTAGAGTATGGCCTTTACTACTCACATTTAGAACATCGCTTCTACTATTTATGTCCAGAGTATGGTCTCTACTAACACATTCAAAGCATCGTCTCTACAATTTACATCACGTCAGCTGCTTATATTTAGAATTTCATCTTTGCATTAGCTTCATCACAACTACTTATTTTTAGAACATCATCCTTATCCAAAAGTTCACACATTATATGAATGTCCATGCATGGACTTGGGGGCATTACATATACTGCTAGCACATGTATCATATTATTGTTGTAAAGTACATAGTCACACAATGCTAGCATATCATGAGACATGACACTATTTTCATTACAACAAATACATATGCCACGTTATCTTCATTTTCATTTTATTATCGACATCACATTGCCTGCTTCATTATAACACTACTACTATACTAAATTGTGCAAGTGTATGACCTGCTATGATACATGATAGACTCTCTACATATTATATCTTGGAGAAATGTGAGATGTCATTATTCACTTTATGATTATGAGTAATTTGAGGGACAAATGGACCTCAAATTTATTTTGTATATATTGTATTGCATTAAATATTGGTTTAGTCCATATTATAGGGGAGATGTTGCCGAAATTTGGAAAAATTATATTCAGTATCTATCTTTCGAGGTAATTCGTAAGTCCTCGTCTATTTGGGATTGATGCATATTTTTGAATTTTAAGGCAGTTCGTAAATCCTCAAATTGGAACTGCTCATATTTTTGAGGCAATTTGTAAGATCTTACCTAGTAAACTACTTATATTTCGAAGTTCTACTCGCATGTGAATGTACAACTCAGACTTGAGGGACTATTGTTATATCCATAAATTATGTGGCATACGTGTGGCGGAGGTGGTTCCACATTTGTTGATGTGACATCGACTATTTAATTAATTGGATCCATTTAGTTAAACAATTGCATTTTGGGCTTGGAGTCCCAACCCATCATGCCCACTTGACCCATTTATTTCTTTATAAATATATGATTCATTTTATAATAAGGTATGTTCATTTTAACCCTAACCAAAATCCCATCTCTTTCTCTTGCACTCATATTTTTCTCGTTCGGCAGTTGACTTGACTTTCGAAGTGCAAACGATCGTCAGAACTTTTTCTCGATCGACGGTCTTTGTATTCTAACAGGGTGTTCAGTGTACAAGTGAGTCCATGTGGAAGGGACGTGGTTGGAATTCCATTGACACATTTTTCAAGGTCAACAGTGCATACACCAAATAACACAAGTATATTGAAAATGAGAACTTGGTCATATGGGACACTTCTCTCCTGGAAAATGTATTAATAAAATTGAAAAAATAAAAAAACAAAGCCAATAAAAGAGTCAGAAAAATATTAGCACAAATGTTGAAGCACTTGAGACGCAATAAAAAATTGTACTCCCAAAATCCTTGCAGAAGCAGGTGTAGGAATTTGGTTCAAATAATGAACCAAAAATTGGAAAATGAAAAGGTGTGACTACGTGTCAATTTCGACTAAATATTCGGACTTGATCCGATAGTCAAATTACAAAAGTAAATAGATTAACTTATTCTACTCGTCGAGTAGATCGTCGTGGTATATTTGGAATCTCGAAACCAATTCCGGATGAATGAGAAATTACGGACCAAATTTGGAAGAAATGAAGTGTTGCAACTTTTCGAAAGGATGCAGGTTTTGGTCAAGTGTTGCAATTTTTTTAAAGGATGCATGTTTTGGCCCACACTACTTCATTTGCACCCTTTCTACATCTATAAATAGAATCCTATGGACATGATTTTGGGTACACCAATTACATTCAACATTCATTCTCCTCTTGCAATTCTCTCCTTTTTAATTCCATAGTATTTTCATGCATTTCCTTGATAGAGAGAGAATTCCGTTCGAGTTCGCTGGTCGAAGTCATTTAGAGTGCTCCTATGACTTGACGTGGTCGTTGTATCTTGAGAGATGATTGTCAAAAAACTATTAACACCGATGCGGGGTAAATTCATCTTAAGGACTAAGTGTCAAACACTTGCATCGACCAATAATTCATTACTTGCATCTTTTTTCCTACAGTTTTTTGATTTCTTTTGATTATATTTTGATTTCGGGAAATGATTAACATTGTTTACATGTTTATATTGCAAGGTTCGATCAAAAGAATAATTTGCTTTCGTTCAAGAATTGAAAGGGATGAATCCATATCCATGTATTTAGATTCGGTAACTTTTATGTTTTGCTTCTCAAATCCTATTTCGGTAAATCGAAATTACGTTTCGATTTCACGCAAATAACCGGTATGCTTTTGTGAATATAATATGCACGTAATCGGTGTGAATTTCCCCAACAGCAGGAGCTCACCTGCAATAGGAGGCAGCACGTCTTGCCTTATGAGCAACACAACTGAGTGTGCTTCTTAATTAACAGAAATCTAAATGTCAGAAGAAACTCTATTTTAATGCCTATTGTGGCATAGCCAACAGGAAAAGTAATTAATAAGCAATCAAGAAATAAAATCGGAGCATAATAGTTTAAGGAAGTGATTGTGGATCAAGTCTTGCAATTGTTGTGCAATATTCTTGATCAGAGCCATAAAAAGACATATCTCACCTGGCAAATATGCTAGAAATAAAATCAAGAAGGGGAGGAGAGATTTGGAGGTACAGACTTTTTTGTTTCTCCTTTTCATTTTCTTGGCCTCATTTGATCAATTTTGAAGGAGATATTTCATAGGTAATTCTAAGGTGAGCAAGCATCAGTCTAAAGGGCGAAAAAATCTTGACCACATGCTGCTTTTCCTGTTGTGGATATATTTCAGAAATTTTACGCACTGCATTTTGAATAACAATGAAAATTTGGACACTTCTGAGCACTTTTGCAGCTGTAGTGCTTCAACTGAGTGGCTGTCCTAGAAGTTTTCCCCATTTTTTCTGATACGATGAACATTCTAAAACTATCACAAGTATCTGTGTATAGTCATTTGGGATATCTTAATGATCTTAAATCAGTATAAGGAAAACAATATTACTGCCAACCCACAAGTCTAATAAGCCTATAAACATGCTATTATTCTTGTATAATGTTTCATTATACGTAGGATGCTGCTTCGAAAGCTCAGGGTTATTAAAGTTCCAAACTACAGTGCATTTTCCGTCTGACATCAAAGGGCAGTCCACTATCTGGTGGAAGTGTTAAAGAGCACATTAAATCTGTTTCTACGTAGGAATTTTTTGTAGTCAAAAAAAGACTTCCTAAGCATAAACTTGTTGCAATTTCATGATCCTAGGTGGCTAGGTCCTTGTACAATAGGGTGGTGATGGGACCCTGCTCTGGGATCTCAGATTGAAATGCTAAAATGAAGGGATCTGGACTGAATTTTAATGTTTATTGAACTGAAATGATGAACAAAACACGAACAAGAGCATTCGAGAGGCTCCAACTCTCTTACTAGACACTTGAATTTTCCATACCTCTACCCCCCTTCCCCTTTTACATTTATCGATGACAAATTTTCTCACTCACTCACTACCCTCCCCAA